GTGTGGAATAAACAGCATATATGCCCCATGCTGTGTCCCCAGGGTGTGTGCACATTTCATCCTCTTTAACAGGGCTAACGCACCAAAATCCTTACAGATTTGAGTTTGAAAACTGTTCCTAATACTAGAAATAGCACAGTAAATTGACATTCAAATTTGACTGTGCTGCCAGTGGAGCTTCTTTTATGCACAGCGTGTTGTGTCCTGAAACACTTTCAGAAAGCGGGGAGAACATCTGCAGTTCTTATCAATTAATATTTCTGCAGCATGTCTACCTACCCCATGCTGAGTGTATGCAAAATGGTCCAAAAACGAGTCTACACCAACAAACAATCTCTAACCAGCAACCAGTCACCTACAGCCTGAGCCAGATTCAGTCCAGCCTGTCCTGCCCCTGCAGCTCCTGTGGGATCTTCGCTCCCTTGTGCTTGGCTTGGAGTGGCAGCACTGGGATGATGTCCTTTTGAGAGAGGAGAAACTCTGGGAAGTTGTCCACCCTTCATCTTCCACGTCACGTCAGGGACTGGAGGAGGAGAAATGTGTAGGTGGGAGGAAAGCAGAACACGGAAGCAGCTCAGAAGTGCTTGATTGCTTTTACAGCAGCCACCCTCTTGATGATCCCAGGATGTCCCCTGTGCTTGATGGGCCTCTCTGCCCCATCCTGGGATGAGTGCCAGCTCGGGGTGGTGTGTAACAGCCTCTCTTGCTCTTCTGAGTTGGAACCTGGAAGATGGCAAGCACAGGCCAGCCAGTCCCTGCTTCCAGCACAGTTATGAGTGGAGAAGTTTGGGGTCTCCTATCTTTTTGGTCCCTAATCAAAGAAACCTGCCCTGTATTTACCCATTTCAAAATTGTGCCATGACACTTGTCACAGCCTTTGGGGGGGATCGCACAAGTCTTGGCCCCCACTGTGACCCCCCTTGCCCATGACACAGGAGCTGGCTGGTGGCTGGCAGTGGAGATTCCTCCTCCTCGGACCACGCTGACGTGGTGGCACGGGGCTGGTGCTGCAGGAGTGAATCACCACCTCTGAGGAGTGGTGCTCCCCGGACAATGGCAGGCCTGGGAACCGCACGCAGCCACTCCTTACGCTAGACAAACTTTGAAAGGAAAAGCAAACTGAGTTTATTTGACTAAAGTGCTTAGCAAATCAGCACCTGTTTCTTGGAGGAAGAAAGGGGGAACGAGTTAATGTGCCAAATAGTTTTGAGATAAAGTGACTTTTAGCATTTTGACAGACCTTTACTATTGTTTCCTGGTTCCCTCCAGGCAGAAAGCTCCCCTCTCCAGTTAGCCCCAAAACCAACTTACACAGCTGTCTGGAAGTGGGATGCAATCTCCTAGATAAACTTCATCCTTGGGCTTTGATTTCTTTGAGATGAGCATGAACTTGCAGAGAAATTCTCCTTTTCATCCCGCTCTCTGGATAGAGTTTTGCTGGGTGTCATTCCACCTTTACTGCTCTCTGAATGTCCATCCTCAGGTCTTAAATTTGATCCACATACAGCCACAATTGTCAAGGAATAGCCCTGGAGTGGTTCTCCTGTTCGAGCAAACCCAATCAGGCATAGTTCTGGGACAGCTGCAAATAAATATTGTAGCATAATGCAAATGCAAATGCTTCTCCTCTTGCCAAAAGTTAAGAAGAGTTTCATCACCTCCGAGGACATACGACCTTGGATTTATCTGGGTTTAATAATACTGCACTTCAGAGCTGCTCATTACACAAGCTGTTAAGTGCGGACAATGAATGAAGCTCATTAGCAGTTTGATACAGACTAGATATGGTGGCAGACAAACCATGGCCATGGGGACAAAAGTGCATTTGAAGAAGATGACTCCTAAAACCAGCATGCTGGGATGATGGACACTACACTCTGGCCGTCCTGGTGTTCCTGGTTGTTGTATGTTCTGTCCCCTGCTGCCAAGCATGGCAAAGGAAAAGGTTTCCCACGTCTCTCGCTGACACTTCCTTAGAGCCCGTTCAGCCCCAGGTGCACAAAGCAACCTCTGCTCCCAGGCAGCCAGATGGCCAGCTGCAATCCAGTCACTCTTTAATTAACTTTGGGGTTTTTTTTTTTCCTCTGTGGGTTGTTTCTGGGAGAAAGGGAGCTGACAGCATGTTTGTTCACACGAGATTGATTTGGCCTGGCAGTTCCCTGGGTCTGTACTAAGCATTTTGAAGTGTCTTTGGGTTTTGTTGTCAGCGTAAAAGGGGTAGAACCTTGGAATCCAAGGGGATTTCTGGGATGTATCTAAAGAAGTTATGTAAGGATGAAGGTTTATTGCAACTCATATGCAGATGGGCACGCACACAAAACAAAGCTGATGGGGGCAAACTAATCTGAGGCCTTGGATACTGTGCATTGTTGAGCTGCTACAGGGGATAATTAACTTCAAACACAGCTACAACAAACACCACTGACCTGTAAGCAGCTCCTCTAAACCCTGCGGAGCTGTTTGAGTGTGTGGAGTCACACAACATACATAAAGCAGCTGTGGGATGGAAGGTTCAAGGTGTATCCCTGCACATCGGAGAAAATGCCAACCAGCAGGATCACCTCATCTGGATTAAAAAGCAGAAGGGTGTGAAGAATCTGCAGCTAAATTGTCCAGCTCTAAAACTAACAAGTAGAAAGAGAATAAAATATTGAAGTAGCAGATCAAAAGTAAGTTCGCTCTGCAATCCAGAGATGTGAATCAGCTTTCACACACAGCTTTCAAACTAGCTGTCCCCAGCAATCGAGCCGTGGCAGCACGTACGTCATATTCTACCAAGACACCAAGCATGGCAGCAAGTGCCACCTCCATCCTGCTGCAGAGGACAAAAGCATGGTCCTCTGAGGTCCAAAAGCAAGTAGAAGGGAAGGTGGGGAAGCTATACCAGCTCACTGAGTCTGAACACAGAGAGGGGAGAAAGGACTAGAGAGAAAGGAGGCGGCCACACAACAGAGGAAAAGGGATTATGGAGTATTTTCCCTTCGGAAGTAGCAAGACTGGAAGGGAGGAAGTGCTGAAGGAGAGGAGATGCATCAGAGGAAAGGAGAAGAGTAATTTTGAATCAGGATGGTCTTCAGAGTAAAGGATGAAACACACTTCCCCCATCTGCCACTGAAGGGAGGTCTCTCTAGATGGAGAACTTTTTAAAAATTACTTTGAGGCCCTGTTGCTTCTGATAGCAGAGCATTTTGCAAAGCAGGGCTTTGGGGCAAATGCCGTACATCTCACAGGCTGTAATTTCCCTGCAGAGATAAGAGAAGGGCGGAGCTGTTGCAAAAGCGTGCCTGGAAAATCACAGAGGTGCTCCCTGCTATTTTGCATCAGAGAGTGTTTTTTTAATTATTATTTGTTGATTCATATCCCAGATGAACAAGCAGAGTCCTCCCCCTGGTGGCAAGTTAAAAAAAAAAAAAAGTATCAATGATTTTTTACAGTCCTGTCAATCTAAGGCTATAAAATGAAGTAAGTAGCATCAGACAGGACCTATTTTTTATTAGGTGAACCAATACAGATGGGGGGAAAAAGACAATTTTGCAAAACACAAATCCTTTTCAGGACTTACATAGAATTATTTACTTTGAAGGCTAATACAACTAGAAAACAGTTTCCGAGTTCAATTTCATGGTTAATTTATTAGACAATTTATAAGAGAAGCAGAGGATAAAACCTGTAGAATAACTTTTAGTAGCTGTGCAGGGTAATTGTAATGCGCAATAATCTCATTATTTCCACTGAGTCCTTGTCTTTTAGTGCCCAATTGAGTTTTGGTGTCCAAGATCCCTTAAAGGCAGACTAGTTAAGAAAGTAAAATTCATTATACTACTGAACAGTAAAAACGGACTCAGTAGACAAGTTGTTTTTATTGTATACAATAATTTTCCCCAACTAATGTCCTCAGATAGCTCTTCAAAAATTATCTGTAGAAAATTATCTCTCTGTGTTTGTTATGTGAAGTGCCTTTTGGGCAGGATTTTTTCCTTTAGAAAACTCATTTGGTGGATGAGGTGTTGCTTTGGCTTCACTAAGGCTTTCGACACTGTCTCCCATAGCATCCTAAGACTTATCTGTAGAAAATTATCTCTCTGTGTTTGTTATGTGAAGTGCCTTTTGGGCAGGATTTTTTCCTTTAGAAAACTCATTTGGTGGATGAGGTGTTGCTTTGGCTTCACTAAGGCTTTCGACAATGTGTCCCATGCATCCTCAGGGACAAACTGATGAAGTACAACCTAAGCAAACGGGCAGTGAGGTGGATGGAAAACTGGCAGAACCACTGGGTTGAAAGGGGCTCCTCACTAGTGGAGCACCCCTGGGGTCAGTACTTTTAACATCTTTATTAATGACCTGGGTGAATGGACAAAGTCCACCCTCAGCAAACTGACGTATGATACAAAACTGAGGAGAGCAGTGGATACCCAGATGGTCGTGCTGCCACTCTGAAGGACCTCAACAGGCTGGAGAAATGGACACAGAGGGTCGTCAGGAAATTCAACAAAGGGAAAAACAAAGTCCTTCACCTGGGGAGGAATAACCTGTGCACCAGTACAGGCTGGGCACTGACAGCAACTTTGCAATAACCTGTGCACCAGTACAGGCTGGGCACTTTGCGGAGGAGAACGTGGAGCCTAGTTGGAGAACAAGTTGACCATGAGTGAGCAATGCGCCCATGTGGCAAAGGCAGCCAACAGCATCTGGGGATACGTTGCGAAAAGTGTTACCAGCAGGTCAAGAGAGGTGATTTTTTCCCCCCCTCTATTTTTCTTTTCAGTTCCAGTAGATAAACACTAGGTATTACCCTGCCCTCAACAGTATAGGTAGTATAAGAATGGCTGAATTGTAATTACATGGAAAACCAACTGTTATCTTTTAATTATAAAAAGGAGAAACCTCCTTTGGCTGTGACATTCAACTTTAATAACCACTGCACCATAAACAAAAATATATTCCCCCCCCCCTTAACAGCAGCAAGCTGTGCCCTTTACCACAAAACACTGTCTGCACGCTTATGTTTAAAAAGGTTTAATCGTTCACCCTGGTACAAAAATACAGTACAATGTGATGGCAAGGCATTCGCCAGAAGACATTCAAAGAATAAAAGGGGAACCCCCATAAAGCTTCAGCATAACCCACCCTCACTCAATGAAACAATCAAAAGGTGAGTGCACAAGGAAAAAGTTAAATTTCTGCCCAAAGGCATATAAAGATGAATCACACACAGTTTTACACAAAAATGTGTTTGCAGAGCTAATAATTTTGCATGCGACTTGGACATTCATGAAATTGATTCTACGTGGCTTAGTGGCAGAATTCATAATTTGGGAAGTCTAGAAAACACCTGGCCCAGGAACATGCCCCATTCGTAGGAATCCCCAGTAAAAGCAATGGGATCACACAACACCAGTGAGAAAAGAGGGATTCAACCCCAATTAAGCATTAAAATGCCAACTACTTCTAATTATTCCAATCACACTGTTTGTCCTCAAATGAACATTTTGCCCTGCACACCTCCCTTTTAACACCAAATATTAGTGGTTGCTCAAACACACAATCTGATGTGTTTGCACATCACCCAGTTGCAAATAACCATTACAGCACAAACTGCCAGGCAGAGGAGGAGATAACACTGTAACTGATGCATGTGTGTGAACTCCAAACAGGGTTTAACCTAACATTGTGGACAGAAGAATTATGTCCCTCCAGTGCATCTACATTCTTTGTCTGTTTAATCATTTCCTTTTAGAGTTTCGAAGTGATGGAAAAGCATCATTCAGTGCGTTCATTATAGTTCATCTCCCAGGTGTTTTTGTTTGAAAGCATCACCTGTTAGCTTCTCCTGGGCTTCCTTCATCCCTTGGACAACTGAAAGATTAGACAGAGAGACAGCAACTATTAATTTCAAGATGAAAACAGCAAGGTGTCCTGGTAATGAAAAGTGTTTTAAAATAACACAGTTACAGAATGTAGATCTACAAATTAACCCAAAAAAACCAAAAAAAACCCCAAAAAACCCAACCAAACAAACAAAACCCAAAAACCAAACAGAAACAGAAACAAACCAAAAACCAAACCAAACAGTCCTGTGCCCTTTTCCCAACTGTTTGTAGCTGGATCATGCGAATTGCATGATTTTCCATGCCACAACTGGAGACAAAGTTTAGGTCCTATGGACATTATAGTAGGTATTAAGGTGAATCATGATTTTGAACAGGGTTCCCCAAGGCATAAGAGCCACTCACTCACGTTGCATCTAACAGCTCCCAGTTATGCCGTAAAGGATCATCATTTTTCTCCACTCAAAAGTGAAGATGTGTCCCTCACTCAGGGCAGACCCAGAGTTTCATCTCACTAAAAACACACTTCAAACTACTTTGCACGTACCTTGATCAGCGTTGGTATAGAAATACTTGTAGCTGGGGTTTCCTTTCTCATTTATGATTTCTGGGTGAACTTTTCCACTGGGGTCTATGAAACAAGAAATCAAACAGGAAATTTTGGTGGTAACAATAAGAACACAGTCCTGTGAATGGATACAACAGCTGTGGATACCTTACCCATGAAAAGGATTCTGGGAATGTAACCTCCATCGGGACTAAAGGCTTCATCCTTTGGCTCTTCATCATCCTACCCAAGCAAGACAGAAGAGAGGGAACATGTTAGCAAGGTCACTAACAAAATACAGCACTCCTTTTAAAGAAACAAGCTATTGCCTTCAGATTCCATTTATCCTGAGTAATTTACATCTTGAACAGACACTAGGTAAGTGCATTATCTGCCACTCTTAAATGAAAGTTATACTTACCTAAACAAGTATAATTTGTGAAAAGTATTTTTTTCTGTTCTGTCAATTTGCATTAAACGTGTGGGAGGTGTCCCTGCTCATGGCAGGGGGTTTGGAACCAGATGATCTTTAAGGTCCCTTCCAACCCAAAGCATTCTACCATTCTATGGCAGAATGAATATAAATTCCTTTATCATGGCAACAGAATGACACGAGGTACTAATTGTTAAAGAGACAATGGCAGAGAGCCAGGTTTATAAACACAATTAAAATAACCAGACTGAAGAAATTGCTTTTTCAAACAATCAGCTACATCAATCAATCTTGCATACTTATTCAGGAGTGCATGATTTAGGATGTGCACAAAACAGGATGCAGCCACTTCAGTGGGATTCCAAATACTTAATTACTAGGCTGTAACATGGATACAAATCAGAGAGCAGCCTACCTCGAGGTTGACCATAACAAAATTATGGGCAAGTTCAGAGATCTCCTTGGATTCAGCAAACTTTGGCTTTAAAGCTGGGGAGGTGAAAAGAGATGTGTAAAGACAGTGGAAAAGATTTCAGGTTTCCAGATCAGCAGCAAAATCTCAACTTCATTCCTCCCTCTGGAGAGCTGGTACTTTTCAATAAGCAGTGAGTAAACAGAATATATGTATCAAACCATTGAAGCCAGGCTCAGAACAGGAGGTAATTGAAGCAATCCTTGCTGAGCAGCCATATGATGAACCCTGGCCAACAGACACACACGATCATATGGGCATCAATGGAACAAAAGCAAAAACCTTGGTGTAAATCAGCAGTTCTCACTCAACTAACTCATGCTTTAAACTTAGCTCTTATTTCAGCAAGCTCTAGTATCCCACTTACCTTTGCAAGCTCCACACCAAGACTTGTGGATGATAACCATAAGAGGCAAACCGCTAAAAAGAAAGAAGAGAAAGGAAATTGTCAAGGAAAGCTTACACAGACCACATTGTATTACACGTACATTTCAACAGTCATGATTTTTACAAAGGTTAAATGTAATGGAAAACAAGAGAGATGTAAAGAGATTCTGCTATGTTTTAAGGTTGTCTTGCAAAAAGTTTTCCCAGTCTTAAGATATGTATAATAATAATTTATTATAACTGCCAGCCAGTAACTGCTCTTGTAGAGGAAAAGACTTTCTCTTCAGAAGGTTTGCTCTTAATTAGTTTACATTTGCTCAGATACACAACCAGTCATGTTTTTTTACTGGAAGTGGTTAGTGACACCAGCTGCTTGAGATCTCAGGATGGATTTTCTTGGCTGCTTAAAGCAATCCCGTGGATGACAGTCACACATCCGCCCCTCTCCCCACTACAGTCTGTATGTTTGTCACCTTCTGTGACTAAGACCCTCCACTGGTCAATAACCAAACACAGTAACCTAGCAAACCTTCTGGTTACCACGCTGTTTTCCTATATGTTGGTCTGCTGAAATAAATCTGTGACAAATGTGACGAGTGCCAGGACTGATAAGAGGTTGGGGGGGAAGGGCTGTGTGGAACTGCAGCCTAAATAAAGTGCAATGCAAAAGGGCCAAAGTTATTCTTTATTATTCTCTCCCCAAATAATTCACTTGACCTCCACTACCTATACTACCTAGAGGTTAAGTTTCCATTGCCTGACGTATGTTTTATTTAATCCTGTTCTCCAGAAATCCCACCAGCATTTCACCCTCTGACCAAGTCAAGCTTACCAAGTTCAATTTCTCTAACCTCTTTTATGATATATTCAGGCTGCACCATGCAATTAGACAGAGGCCTTAAACACACTACAAATTCCTGTCGTTAGTACTGGTGATTCAATTAATCCACCACTTCACTGCTCCCAACTATTTTGCATCAATTTTACCTTTCTGACAAGAAAAGTGATAGAACTTCAGGTGACTGTTGTTGCTATTGAGCACAGCCAGGTAGTACAACACTTATTTACACACTTTCTGCATGCAGAAGTCCTTACTAACACCTTCATCCAAGAGTTGGACTGGTGAAACTGAATAGAGCAATAAACTAAGAAAGACTAAGAACAAGAATTGGGTATCTCATCCCTTTTCTTTTACCAAGAAATCCCATAAGCTATGGAAAGCTATCCAAGGAAAGTTGGTAATAATGATACAGCTTCTAGACCAGTAAGAACAGCCTCAAACTAGGTGAAGGAAAATAAGGAATCAAGAAAGACAGACAGAGAACACACTATATGGATACTTCTTTCACAATACACCAAGCAATGCAAACACACTATATGGATACTTCTTTCACAATAAGCCAAGTTTAAGCTTTCTGTTATTGTAAACTCTGTTACCATTTTGGGGGTTAAAAATGAAGTTAATTTCTCATAGAGAAATTACAAACATCTTTGCACATGGCAGAAACTAAATTAATTACTAGCAGCACTGAAGTACAAGTTTTTGTTTAGCTGTGGAGAGATACGAAAGGAAATTTCTACACAGCAGCATTCAGTTATGGCCTTCACAACCAGGAAAGGGTGGAGAGGAAGCAACTGACATTTAGAGTAGTTCAAACAAAAGTTTGCCATTAATAACTAACCAATATGTTATCATCTTTACATAGGACTCTGCAGTAAGAAGCCAGAATACACATTTCCCTTGTAAAGCTTGTATTGCATCAGGATCCTTTCCCTGATAATGGGTGAGCATCCTCTTTCTTGAGAAGTTGATTTAAGACTGGAAAACACACATCATCTTATAATCAAGGATCAGATCTTCATGCCAGAAGAACTGATAATGGGTGAGCATCCTCTTTCTTGAGGAGAAGTTGATTTTAGACTGGAAAACACACATCTTCTTATAATCAAGGAATTCATATCAGAAGAGCTCAATCACCTGTTAATCAGTACTGCAACACACTTTTTTTCTTTTAAAGTTAAGAGAAATTTTCAAAGCAGATTTTAAATGGAAGGGTTCACAGTCCTGAATTACCAACTCAGCCAGTGAGAACTCACAGAAGTTTTAGAGATACTGAATGTATTTTCTCAGCTTTATTCTTTTTACTTTGGTGGCGAAAATAAACTTATTTACATCAAAACATTTTTGTAGTCGTTTCTCAGTTCTGCAATGCATAAGTCCACCTAGCAGCCAGTATGTCAGATAAACAGCTACTGTAATTGAAATAACCCCTCCTGCCCCACTTTACCATTTCCTCCCAAGTAGCACTACACATACAATTAAAACCAAAAGCCGTAATTTATTAAAACGAGGAATGATTGAAATAACCCCTCCTGCCCCACTTTACTATTTCCTCCCAGGTAGCACTACACATACAATTAAAACAAAAAGCTGTAATTTATTAAAATGAGGAACGAAGCATCCCCTAGAAAGTGAAAAGTTTATATAAGCTACGTATGTTGTATAGCAAAGACTGAAATTAGTTGAAACTAAGTGCAAAACCAAGTTACCCATCACAGCTAGTACAGACTTACGGGAAAGCTTCACTCAGAACAGACACTGTCATTTTAGCTCACTTTTCCTATGAGAGCACTCATTCTTAGACAATGAAATGGTTTTAAAGTCATTTAATGATGACCTTGCAGAGAAAAGACATAACAAGTTACTTCAATAAAATAGTCCCACAGGTAAATGAAGACTTTACTTCATTTAAGGCACAGATTTTATTGTTAAACCTGAAACAGAGAGGTTTGAGTTTGCTAAGCCAGCACCCTTCTGTTGGTGGCGAAAATAAACTTATTTACATCAAAACATTTTTGTAGTCGTTTCTCAGTTCTGCAATGCATAAGTCCACCTAGCAGCCAGTATGTCAGATAAACAGCTACTGTAATTGAAATAACCCCTCCTGCCCCACTTTACCATTTCCTCCCAAGTAGCACTACACATACAATTAAAACCAAAAGCCGTAATTTATTAAAACGAGGAATGAAGCATCCCCTAGAAAGTGAAAAGTTTATATAAGCTACGTATGTTGTATAGCAAAGACTGAAATTAGTTGAAACTAAGTTACCCATCACAGCTAATACAGACTTATGGGAGAGCTTCACTCAGAACAGGCACTGTCATTTTAGCTCACTTTTCCTATGAGAGCACTCATTCTTAGACAATGAAATGGTTTTAAAGTCATTTAATGATGACCTTGCAGAGAAAAGACATAACAAGTTACTTCAATAAAATAGTCCCACAGGTAAATGAAGACTTTACTTCATTTAAGGCACAGATTTTATTGTTAAACCTGAAACAGAGAGGTTTGAGTTTGCTAAGCCAGCACCCTTCTGTCGCACAGAGTTTGCAAATCTATCTCCTGGGTTCAGTAGAATTTTTTTTTAACAGTCACACCCTAAAAATACAGCTTGTTCCAGTTCTGGACCTGAAGTCTCCTCTGCAGTTTGACATTAGCTGGAGAAAGCCTTGGAAAAACAATCTTCTTATTCAAGATATACACAAGCCAATGCGAAGGGGAAAAGTTTTCCCTACAGCCACCACCTTTTGGACTTTCATGTTGAGAGACTATTTGATCACTGGGGTTTAGGTCTCCACAGGAGGCTCCACTTGCTTGGGGATGCAACAGTAAAGATGCCAGCGGGGAGCATGCAGGGGTGGGGGCACAGCATCCCTGCAGGTGCTCTTAGCAATACCGCTTGCTCAGATGTTGCAGGGACGTGGTGTTCATCTTCCCAGGGCTGCTGTTGCCACACGAGTTGGACTTGATGATCCTTATGGGTGCCTTCCAACTTGAGATATCTTATGAGTCAGAGTTAGGTTGATGGTTGGACTAGATCATAGAATCATAGAATGGTTAGGGTTGGAAGGGACCTCAAAGATCATCTAGTTCCAACCCCCCTGCCATGGGCAAGGACACCTTCCACTGGAGCAGGTTGCTCAAGGCCACATCCAGCCTGGCCTTGAACACCTCCAGGGATGGGGCATCCACAACTTCCCTGGGCAACCTGTTCCAGTGCCTCACCACCCTCATAGTAAAAAATTTCTTCCTGATATCTAATCTGAATCTTTTTTCTTCCAATTTAAAACTGTTTCCCCTTGTCCTATCATTACACCTCCTGGCAAAGAGTCCCTCCCCAGCTCTCCTATAGGCCCCCTTCAGGTATTAAAAGGCTGCTATAAGGTCTCCCCGAAGCCTTCTCTTCTCCAGGCTGAACAATCCCAGCTCCCTCAGCCTGTCTTGATAGGAGAGGTGCTCCATCCCTCTGGTCATCTTCATGGCCCTCACGAAGAGGTGAGAGGTGGACTTAGATGATCTTTAAGGTCCCTTCCAACCTAGATGATTCTATGATTCTATGATTCCATGATCCGATCCATGACATGTGGGACCCAAGCTCCATGGGGTCTGTGGCTGGAAGGCATGTTCTTACTCTTGTGAATACATTGGGTCCGGACCATGGCGACCTGGTGCCAGGGTTCACTGGATGCTGCGGCTGAGGTACTGCAGGAACATGCTGGCCAACTGGGGCAAGTTTTCGTCGCTGGGCTGCATCTTGGTGTAGCTGATGAACTGCCTGCGCAGACGGCTCAGCTCGGCCATGCTCACCGGCCGGGTCAGCACCAGCCCTTCGGCCACGCCGGGGACGCGGACCGTCTCGCCGGGCTGAGCCCCGTCCCTCTGGGCGGCCATGACGGCGGCCAGCACCTCCTGGGTGACCCGGTCCAGGTGGTGGAGGAAGCCGCTGGACTGCAGGGGCTGGGCGCGGGTGGCGCGGTGCGGCGGCGGCGGGGCGCTCTGGAAGAGAGCGGCGCGGATGGCGGCCAGCGGCAGCGGCTCCTCCCCGCTCACCGTGAAGAGCGGCCGGTCCCAGCGGTTGTTGGGGTCGGGGGTTTCGAAGGGCGGCTCGTCGGGGCGGCCCGGGCCGCCGGCGCAGTGGAGGAGGCAGCGGGACGTGCCGGCCTGCCGGGCGGCGCAGTACAGCTCGTAGCGGATGCTCCGCAGCTCGTTACCCGCGTCCACGATCACCACGTCCCGCCGGCTCAGCCGCCGCTCCACCTCGGCCCGCAGCTCCCCCCGGCCGCCCTCCGCTTCGCCCACCACGTAGCCCTGCCTCTCCTCGCCGCCCAGCGCTTCCCGCAGCTCCGCCGCCCGCCGGCTCTTGCCGCTGCCCGGCCTCCCGCACAGCACCACCAGCGGCATCCTCCCCGCCGCCCCCGCCCCGCCGCCATGCTGACCCGGATGGCCACCGCCACTGCTTCCGACGGGGTCACTCGCCTCCCCACGCCCCCTGCGCCGTCGCCCGGGCAACCGCGGCCTGCGCCGGGGCCGCCATGGCGGGAGGGAGGGAGGCCCCGGCCCCCGCCGCAGCGGGACAAGGACACCGTCCTGTGGGGCTACCGTCCTGCGGCTGCCGCCGGGATCCAGGGACCCAAGGAGCTGTAGGAAGGCGGGGTCCCCCCCCGCGCCCACAGGGACCCCCCCCAAAACCAAGCGTCTCCAGCATCTCCGAGGGGTCCAGGTGTGATTTACAGAACTGAAATCGATTTAAAGCTTTGAAACTGCCCAGAGCGCTGGCGCTGACGCATCCCACTTGCTGCACAGCTGATAGTTCCAGATAACTCCTCATCTCCTGACCTAAGGTCAGGCCTACAACAAAAATCTGCTTTTTAGGTTTGCTCATCTTTTTTTGGTTTTGTTTGGTTTCTCCCAAAGCTGCAATTCATCGACACACAAATGCTGCTGAACTCAAACCGGTGAGCAGGTCAGAGACTAGATATTATTACATATTATAAATATTATATATTATTAGATATAGATATTCTAGTCAGATATTAGATATTAGTTTGATATTATTTGGATTCTAGTCAGATATTAGATATTAGTTTGATAGTATTTGAATATTAGAAAGAAATTCTTAATTATCACAATGGCGAGACACTGGAACAGGTTGCCCAGAGAAGCTGTGGCTGCCCCATCCCTGGAGGTGTTCAAGGCCAGGCTGGATGGGGCTTTGAGCAACCTGGTCTGGTGGGAGGTGTCCCTGCCCAGGGCAGGGGGTTGGAACTGGATGGTCTTTAAGGTCCCTTCCAACCCAAACCATTCTGTGATTCTACGAAAGCGGAGAATGTGCATTACAGCCATCCCTTGCTCCAGAGCTGTTTCTGAGCAGAAATGCTCACCCTGCCTAAACCTCAGAGCTTGCCCTCCATCCCTTCCTCCACCCTTCCCTCCATCCCGCCCTCCTCTGTCTCATTTTAAAGCTTCCTCTGCTTCACTGCCAAGTTATTGTACAATTACTCCTGCAAATACTGAAACCATCTATTTCTTTTGCACAGGCACATCAAATAAATGCTAAAATATCCCATTATAAAAACTTGTAAGACTTCTAAACTGTACCATCTGGGCTACTTTGGTGCCTACACTAGGGTGCGGAACTGGCCAGATGGATCAGTTTGAGAGCAGAATTCAATAAAACAGCAAACCTGGAAGGCATAATGAATTTCCGCTCATGTCAGCATTGCCAGATCTAGGTTATAAATTCAAATGTACAAGTAGAATTTATAAGCATCCGATTCTCCTTCTCACATTATAACAAGAAACAGAAGAAATACTGAGAAAAAAAATGTGTCAAAATGTCATTTTTTACCTTCTCATAGAGACAGTGTTATTTTTAGAGTTTAAGCTTAACCCAGAAAAGCTTCTACTTTACAGTAACAAAATATCTCACACTGAGACCTCATCTATACAGGCACATGGAATTTTAGGGAAGCTATTAGCACTGCTGAGGCCCCCCCCGTAGCCCTGCCTCTCCTCGCCGCCCAGCGCTTCCCGCAGCTCCGCCGCCCGCCGGCTCTTGCCGCTGCCCGGCCTCCCGCACAGCACCACCAGCGGCATCCTGCCCGCCGCGCCCGCCCCGCCGCCATGCTGACCCGGATGGCCACCGCCACTGCTTCCGACGGGGTCACTCGCCTCCCCACGCCCCCTGCGCCGTCGCCCGGGCAACCGCGGCCTGCGCCGGGGCCGCCATGGCGGGAGGGAGGGAGGCCCCGGCCCCCGCCGCAGCGGGACAAGGACACCGTCCTGTGGGGCTACCGTCCTGCGGCTGCCGCCGGGATCCAGGGACCCAAGGAGCTGTAGGAAGGCGGGGTCCCCCCCCGCGCCCACAGGGACCCCCCCCAAAACCAAGCGTCTCCAGCATCTCCGAGGGGTCCAGGTGTGATTTACAGAACTGAAATCGATTTAAAGCTTTGAAACTGCCCAGAGCGCTGGCGCTGACGCATCCCACTTGCTGCACAGCTGATAGTTCCAGATAACTCCTCATCTCCTGACCTAAGGTCAGGCCTACAACAAAAATCTGCTTTTTAGGTTTGCTCATCTTTTTTTGGTTTTGTTTGGTTTCTCCCAAAGCTGCAATTCATCGACACACAAATGCTGCTGAACTCAAACCGGTGAGCAGGTCAGAGACTAGATATTATTACATATTATAAATATTATATATTATTAGATATAGATATTCTAGTCAGATATTAGATATTAGTTTGATAGTATTTGAATATTAGAAAGAAATTCTTAATTATCACAATGGCGAGACACTGGAACAGGTTGCCCAGAGAAGCTGTGGCTGCCCCATCCCTGGAGGTGTTCAAGGCCAGGCTGGATGGGGCTTTGAGCAACCTGGTCTGGTGGGAGGTGTCCCTGCCCAGGGCAGGGGGTTGGAACTGGATGGTCTTTAAGGTCCCTTCCAACCCAAACCATTCTGTGATTCTACGAAAGCGGAGAATGTGCATTACAGCCATCCCTTGCTCCAGAGCTGTTTCTGAGCAGAAATGCTCACCCTGCCTAAACCTCAGAGCTTGCCCTCCATCCCTTCCTCCACCCTTCCCTCCATCCCGCCCTCCTCTGTCTCATTTTAAAGCTTCCTCTGCTTCACTGCCAAGTTATTGTACAATTACTCCTGCAAATACTGAAACCATCTATTTCTTTTGCACAGGCACATCAAATAAATGCTAAAATATCCCATTATAAAAACTTGTAAGACTTCTAAACTGTACCATCTGGGCTACTTTGGTGCCTACACTAGGGTGCGGAACTGGCCAGATGGATCAGTTTGAGAGCAGAATTCAATAAAACAGCAAACCTGGAAGGCATAATGAATTTCCGCTCATGTCAGCATTGCCAGATCTAGGTTATAAATTCAAATGTACAAGTAGAATTTATAAGCATCCGATTCTCCTTCTCACATTATAACAAGAAACAGAAGAAATACTGAGAAAAAAAATGTGTCAAAATGTCATTTTTTACCTTCTCATAGAGACAGTGTTATTTTTAGAGTTTAAGCTTAACCCAGAAAAGCTTCTACTTTACAGTAACAAAATAACTCATCTCACACTGAGACCTCATCTATACAGGCACATGGAATTTTAGGGAAGCTATTAGCACTGCTGAGTTCCAGGGGACTGAGTACTAATTAGACACGCGTTTGTGGGTTTGAGAGCAATTTCTTTCTTTACTGTGATAAACACTCAGTTATTCCCATTTTAAAGACATGCCAGGACTTCAATCATTCAATTAGACGGCAGTGATTAAACCTAGGTGGTGCCTCAGCAACATGAACAAAACTCTCTATTTTCTCTTTAATAAGCCACAGAGAGTTTCTCTATTTTCTCTTTAATAAGCCACAGAGAACTGAACAGTCTCCCAAACCACCTGCATGTTTGTTAATAATTACTATTTTCTGTGGTTAAATTGACACAGAACCTTTGTGAATGTTTTTAAAGACGGTTTGTTAATAATTACTATTTTCTGTGGTTAAATTGACGCAGAACCTTTGTGAATGTTTTTAAAGACATTTCTTTTCTGTATTTAAAACTAGCTGACATACCTGGCTGCTGCCTCTTTCTTCCCATCTTCTAGTGTTCTCCAATGAATATGATCTCCAAAACCTGCCAGAGAAAGGGTTTATAAATGCTGCATAATTCAACATGTCAATAACAGAGGAAAACAGTCCAACCCTTAAGAATATCTTCAACTCATTTCATATTCTTTTTTTAAAGCCAACCATAATCCCAGTCCTCAAAGACTTTGCAAATACTTACAACCTACACAGTTTTATGAGGAATCCCACTGAAATTAATTAACAAAACCATACCAAACTCATGAATATTTTAATTTATACGCAAACGGCACCAAAATCCCCCAAGCAGAGATTAAAATTGAAGGGCCTTCTGATTATTCCCCATTCTTTTTCAATCTGTGAACATTTATTAACTGATTAGTGACAAATTAAACATGTCAGCGTTTGGCTTCCTAAATCCCACTCAATTTGAACTGAAGCGAAACTGAAAAATTCCTAGGCCAACACACGATCACAAATTGCTCTAAAACTATTATGCTGAGCATTACTGCTGATGATAATACCATCGAAAAGAAAGAAAGAACGCCATTACACAGATTTCTGAATGTGTGTTTCTGTTACAGTGACTGAACGACACAGGAAATATTTTATCCCACACCCAGATAAGGAGTCTTGCTACGCCGGTTGAGATAAGAGCGAGTGAGCGTATGTTTAACAACTGCAAAGCAGGGACTGCCAGGTTTTTTGACCCTGTGGCCGACCCAGCACTACCACACATGGCAGAAAGCCACATGGAGAGCAGAGACAAAGGAGATCCAGGAACTCCCTTGGAAGAGCTCCTCTGCTCTCATTGCTCCTGTAACAGGGCTCTGCTGGGTGACCAAAGATCAGCTTCAGCTTGCCCCTTCCCAATGCTGAGGGTAGGGATTAGGCAGCAACCCCCAGGATACTGAGGGGGACACATTTCGGATGCTACGCAGGGGTCAGGAGCCACAGGCTGCCCAGTGCTGATGCAGGGGAAAATGGATGCTGCCTCCACCAGACAACTATGTCAAAGAAGTTGGAGAAAGCCAAGAACAGGGTCGGCAAAACCTCATGGCTCCTTAACTGAGCATCCGGGAGGTTTGTACAGTTGGCACAGTATTTGTATTACCTTATCTTCTTTCCTGATAGGAACAACTGTGAGCATACATGACGCAACACATCAAATATTTAGTCGTGGGGTTAGTAAGGTGGGGATGCCTTGTCCGTGCCCCATCACGCAGGCGTATGAGCTGCAGAAGCAGCTTCAGACACAAGGCTATGTTCATAACAGCTGGACGTAGCGGAGCAAAAACCAGTTGGGTTAGCAGAAGTCAGGTTTACTCAGAACATTGACACGTCAGCTATCTCATGCGAAGGCCAACATGTTAAAACAGGGAAAAAACCTTCTATTGACCTAGCGAGGAAGCGCTTTTTGAAAGCTTTTCTTATTCTAAAATGAAAGCTCACTTTGTGGTGAGCTTCGGTATGTTTGTAAAAGCACTGCACAATAGGTTACGGAGTGCTTCTTTTGAATGAAAGTCACCTGAGGAATTAACCGTGCCACGGAAGGGGAATGACCGGGATCCACACCACAAAGCTTGGCTGTCATTGACCAGATTGCCTTACTCCCAGTCCTGGAGAGGAGATTTATCCCTAAGACGGGCTAAAGCCACCACCTGGGGGGAAGCTCAGGCGCACCCTGACTGAACCGGGCTATTAGACATTGGCAATGACAGGAGGTGGCCGAGGAGAGCCAGAGGAGAGGGAAGGAGAAGAGAAGCCGAAGGAAGGGCTGTTCATGGCCCCCAGGAGCCAGCAGCAGAGGCCGGTGGAGGCCAGGCAGGGCTGTCAGGGCACTGAAGGGTCGTGTCCCTCCCCGCCAAGGCCTTGACCAGATAAAAGCGAAGCCCCTCGAAAGGGAAACTCCTCAGGGTTTAGCCGGCATAGAACCACCACAGCGAAGATGGCTTAAAGACCCCCCACATCTTTAAAGTCAAAGGGCAGCGCTAGGCCGACCGGCGCCCCCCCCACCCGCTCCGCGTCCCCCTTCCCGCCGCCCGCTGAGGGAACCGGCCCGGCCCCACCGCGAAAGCCGAGAGGAAAGCCCGAAGAAAACGTTTGCCTGACCCTTTCCGAGCCCTTCCGCGGCGGAGGCTGCGGAGGCCGCCAGCACCAGGCACAGGCAGAAGATGGAGGCTGCCGCGGGCTGAGCCTTCATGGCGGCGGCGCGGGTAGCAGCGGCGCTACGGGTAACGGCCCCTAAACCTCCGAAACGGGACCAGACCCGCTTAGGTGATTAGTTCTCTCTTTTTTTTTTTTATTCCTTTTTTTTCCTTTCCCCCCTTTTTAAAGCCCAGGAAGTGATGTGAGGCGGATGTGGGCGGTGCCGCCGCCCTCACCTCTCGGCCAGGAGGTGCCGGGGGAGGGAAGGAGGGAAGGAAGGGGCCTCTGTGGAGGTTTCTTTCCCCGGCCCCCTGAGGGGAGGATCAGCCGCTCTCCTCTCGGTCGGAGCAGCTCGGCTCCGCGCAGCAGCCGAGGCGTGCGGGGCAGGAGTCCCTCGGTCACACCAGGGTACCTCCCCTCCTCTCCCGCCCCGAACAAAACCGAGGGGAGCAGGCAGCGAGGCGGGGGATTTATTTTCTCTTCCCAAATAAACCCTCTTGTCCCGCTACTCTCGAGAGTTGCCCAGCCGGTTGGGAAGGTAAAACCGATGAAGGAGGGTTGGCCAAGGGGCAGAGCCGGGTAACACCTCTAGAGCCGCCGCCCGCCTCTGAGTTACTCATCCCTGGAGACTACAACTCCCAGCAGGCACCGCGCCTCACGTTCACGCCCCCCTCGCCTCTGTCCCCGCCTGCTATGCAAATACGGCTCCGCGGCGTAGCCAATCCGCGGGCGGGTTGGCGCCGTCACGTGGCGCGAAGCTTCCTTTCTCTGTGCGCCTCTCTTTCCTTCCTCGGCCGCCATCTTGTTCTCACCGCGTGTTGGGCTGCGGGGGATCCGCCGGGCTCAGGTGAGACCTTCCCTGCGGCCGCCGGCGCCGCTGCCCCGGCACGACCCACCTCCCTTCCCTTGCCGCCTCACGGGGCGGTGGGACGCTGCGGCAGCTCGGCGCCGTTCTGTCCCGTCCCCATCCGCCGCGCTGGGCCGCGGCGGGGCCGCGGGCGCCAGCCGTCCCCTTCAGGGCGGAGGGGGGAGCGAGGCCGTGCGGCGGGAGGCGGTGTGGCGGGGTCTGCCGCTCCCTGGCTCCGGTGACCCGTGGATCTACCCCGGGGCCGCGGTGCACCCGGGCGGGAGGGGATGCCCTGGCTCCCGAGGGACGGGGCCTTGATCCCCTCCGGCTCCCCGTGGTTTGGGGGCGGCCGGCGAGCCGCCCTGCCTGCCCCGGTCCCTTCTGCCGCCTCCCCGGCGGGGTCCCTCTCCCTGCGGGGACCGTCCCGGCGGTGCCGGGGCCTCGCTGGGTCCCCGCTCGGCCGCGGGAGCCTCCTCTGCCCCTCCCCGTCGCTTCCCCAGCACCATCCACTTGCAGAGAGGGTCTCCCCTTTATTCCCGGGGGTCCCCGGTGATTTCTTGGGGCAGAGCAGAGAAACGCCTTCCTTGCCTTGGAAGGTTTGAGGTGTTTTTCCACCCATTGCAGAATTTCAGGTTTTCCAGCCTTTACAGGAACCACCTGACCAGTTGGAGAAGCCACTTAACTTCCCAGTCGTTGAATGAGTAGCTGCCAGGGGTTCATGTAAGAGATCTGCCAAGACACGAACTCACTGAGTTTGGAACTGGCTTACTAGTTAAAAGTACTAGACATTCATTATTTTGAAATAGAACTTAAAGTACTGTAGTGATGAGCCTCTCCATGGGCTCTCTTAAAGCTGTTTCCCTAGAAGCCCTTGTGCTATATGTGCTGGTTTGGGTTCTATTCCTAGTCAGTGGAAATTCACAGTTAGTACCTCAGACTGATGCAAAATGAAATGTTCTGCTGTTTTGCCTCATCATGGTACAGACACTTTGGCTAAACAGACCTCTGATGGGCCACTTGGTGTTATTTAAAGTGGTGTGGCTTTAAAGCTTTTTGTTCACGTGTATCTGTTTGATGCAAGTTTCCTGTAAGTTTAAAAACCTACCGCAGCTTAGAGTACTTTTAAAATGGAGTGTGGTGGAATTTTTCATAGTATTTTGATAGTTAACTTGCATTTGTATCCCATTCTGATTCTTTAGACGCAGCACTATGAACCAAGAAAAACTGGCCAAGCTTCAAGCGCAGGTCCGAATAGGAGGAAAGGTAAGAAAACCATCACAGGCGCGTTGTTTCCTGTATTTTACAAGTTTAAGGAGAAACATCTCTGAAATTAATTTTTTCAAAACATAGGCTTTACTTCACAGGAGGGAGGAAAAGAGTACATATGTTTGAAGCCTGAAAAATATGTTTTTGGTTTTTTTTGTTTGATCTGCTACCTGAAATGCAGTTTTATTTCAGTTCATGGCTGCTGGATGAGTAGTTTCCACAGCGTGTAAGCTTTCTTGTTAATTCAGTGACTTGTTGTGACCTGTGAAGGCTCAAGCTAAGCTTACCTGTTGATTGTTCCAGTTCTGCCTTTCTCTTCTCCTTGTTGGGCAGTTCTTTCCTTTGTACCAGCTCCAGGGCTTGTGTCACTCTGCACTGAGCTGTTTCTTTTTTCTGAGCCAGCAGGTAGCTAATATGAGCAAAAAAAGGATCAAATAGTTTGTTCAGTGTGGGTGTTCATCTCCTAACCATGGGCGGGGTTGTACAAAAAAATTTGCAGAGTCAGAATTCCAAAATTACTGTCTGTGGAACAGTTTGTTAATTACTTGGTTACGAAAGTGTGACCTTTTTAAATCACTGTATTTGTGCTTCATCTTGGGAAAAATAAAAGTTCTTGGGGAAACTTTTTATATATTGCCTAACAGTAAATAGTATTTTTGTAATCTAGCTTCTGTGAAGGGAAAAACACTGCTGCTGTTCAGTGTCCTTTTGGTCTTTTACACTTAAATAAAACCTTAAAATTGAGACCAACAGTTAAAGCTGGATGTGAAGAGAAATTGAAAAGCGTTTTTAACTACAGAGCTTTCTTATAGCTTATAAATAGGTTGCACAGAATGTGATACAACTTTCAAAAATTAAAGTGTTGAGATATGGAGAATAGCTGATGATTGTGTCTTGATTCTTTTCCAGGGAACAGCTCGCAGAAAGAAGAAGGTGGTGCACAGAACAGCTACAGCTGATGACAAAAAACTTCAGAGTTCTCTCAAAAAACTGGCAGTAAATAACATTGCTGGAATTGAAGAGGTACGGTGATAAAATAAGCCTTCCCTGTTTGAAATCAAATTTACTTTGGTGTTTTGGTGCTGGTTGGTGGTTGTTTGTTTTCTTTTTTTAAAGACAGCTTTGTCTTTATCCCTCAAAGAATTACAGGTCTGGTTACTGATAGGTGAAGTTATTTGATGTTGCCTCATTTACATGAATGCATAGATACCTAGAGAAAGAAGGGAGAAGGTTCTGCTGGTGATAGGGATTGTAGAAGGTAGTAAGCCATCATGTATGTGTCTTGCATGCATTGCAAAACAAAACTTCTCTTGATTCTTCATGAATTTGATTACTTCCTTTAAAGAGAAGAGCAGTAAATGCACATTACTGTGCAGGTACATCTAAAGCAAGGGTTGTGTGGTGCAGAATAGAAAGAAAAATTATAAAAATACCTGGAGTAAGGACTTACAAGTGTGTATTACCAGAATTAGGTCCTTTTACTCCATGAAAATTACCAGATTTGTTTGTGGTAGTGTTGTGGTTTAACCCCAGCCATGGTCTTAGTTGATATGTGACCTTTCACTTACCTCCCCTCCTTCCTGCCCCCAGAAGGGTGGGGAGAAGATGGGG